TTTCCATGTGTACGAATTATTGAAACTAAAATTGAAAGACCTAAAGCACCTTCACATACTCTAAAAGTTAAAAATATTATTCTAAAAAAAAATTAATAATTATATATATTTAAATATACAAATAATAAAAGAAATAATCTTAAAACAATATATTCTAATCTTAATAATATAGATAATAAATGCTTTCGATTAGAAACAAAAGTAAATACTCCTATAATAAACATCAATTAAAATTATTAACATAAGTTTTAATAGTTTAATAAAAACATTGGTCTTGTAAACCAAAAATAAGATTAATTCTTTTAAAACTTCAAGAAAAAAGAAATTTCTTTATCATTAATCCCCAAAATTAATATTTTAATTAAACTATTTCTTGATATTATACAATGAATTTTAATAACTCTTCTATTTATTTTTAATGTTATTATTATAAATATTAAACATCTATTAGCTATAAGATTAACCCTACTTATTCAAACTATTTTAGTTTCAATAATTTCAGGATTAATAACTAAAACATTTTGATTTTCTTATATTTTATTTTTAGTATTTTTAGGAGGAATATTGGTTCTATTCATTTACGTAACTTCTTTAGCTTCAAATGAAATATTTACATTTTCTCCAGAGATTTTAACTTCATCAATTTCTATTTTCTTTATTATAATTATTTCATTATATTTTATTGACAAAAGAATTCTATTAAATTATTCTAATATCGAAATTCAATCAATTTCTAATTTAAATTCATATATAATAGAAAATTCTCTTTCTTTAAACAAATTATATAATTATCCAACTAATTTATTAACAATTTTATTAATAAATTATTTATTAATTACATTAACTGCTGTAGTAAAAAATACTAATTTATTTAAGGGACCCTTACGACCAATATTTAATTAACTAATGAACAAACCTTTACGACTTAAACATCCAATTTTAAGTATTGCAAATAATGCACTAGTAGACCTTCCTGCTCCAAGTAATATTTCATCATGATGAAATTTCGGATCATTATTAGGTTTATGTTTAATTATTCAAATTTTAACTGGATTATTTCTTGTTATACATAATACAGCAGATATTAATTTAGCATTTAATCGAGTAAATCATATTTTTCGAGACGTTAACTATGGTTGATTATTACGAACTTTACATGCTAATGGTGCATCATTTTTTTTAATTTGCATTTATCTACATGTAGGACGAGGAATATATTATGGATAATATGTATATACACCAACTTGACTAGCAGGAGTAATTATTTTATTCCTAGTTATAGGAACAGCTTTTATAGGATATGTTCTTCCTTGAGGACAAATATCTTTCTGAGGAGCAACAGTTATTACTAATTTATTATCATCTATTCCATATTTAGGAATTGATTTAGTACAATGAGTTTGAGGAGGATTTGCTTTAGACAATGCTACTTTAACTCGATTTTTTACTTTCCTCTTTATTTTACCTTTTATTGTATTAGCAATAACAATAATTCATTTAATATTTCATTTAACTGAGATTTTTTAATTAAATTGTAATAAAGTTGTTGACCACCAAAATATTCAGATCAACCCTGATCAAATGATTTAATTTTTATCTTACCTAAAATTAAAGGATAATTAATAATTCCATAAGTAGAAATATAAGGTATAAATCATATTTACCCTAAAAAATAAGAAAAATTATAATTTCTCAAAGCCTTATTTATAAAAAATAAAGATATATTAGAAATTAAATAACCTATTAAACCACCAACAATACATACAAATAAAGTCAATAACTTCAAATTTAAAGGTAAAATAATAACTTCCGAAGTAGGAAAAATTAATCAACTTAATATACTTTTTATTATTATTGAATAAAGAATAACATACTGTTAAACCCGTTGAAAAAAAATTAAAAAAAAAATAAATTAATATAAGAAAATGACACTATTTCTAAAATTAAATCCTTTGTATAAAATCCTGCTAAAAATGGTATACCACATAATGCTAAATTTGCAACATTAAAACAAGAAGAAGTTAGTGGCATTATTAATCTTAAACTTCCCATTAAACGAATATCTTGATTATTATTTATATTATCAAGAATTGCTCCTGCACACATAAATAATAAAGCCTTAAATAAAGCATGAGTTAATAAATGAAAAAAAAGGCTAATTTATAATAACTATAGATACAATTCTTATTATTAATCCTAATTGTCTTAAAGTAGATAAAGCAATAATATTCTTCAAATCAAACTCATAATTAGTACCTAATCCAGCCATAAATATTGTTAAACCAGATAATAATAATAACTCCAGCTGTTACTAAAGTTGAAGAATGAACTAAAGCGGAAACTGGAGTAGGAGCTGCTATTGCGGCTGGTAATCAAGAAGAAAATGGAATCTGTGCACTTTTTGTTATTGCAGGTAATAATACAAATATTCCAACAATTAACATTTCTCTATCAGACTGTATCACATCTAGATAAAAAATATAATTTCAACTTCCATAATTTAATATTCAAGCAATAATAAAGCTACATCTCCAATTCGATTTGATAAAGCAGTTAACATACCAGCATTATATGACTTAATATTTTGAAAATAAATTACTAAACAATAAGAAGCTATTCCTAATCCATCTCAACCTAATAAAATTCTAATTAAATTTGGACTAATAATTAATAGTATTATTGAAGTTACAAATATTAATACTAATATAATAAATCGATTAATCTTATAATCTCTTTCTATATATTCCTTTCTATAATGAATTACTAAAGAAGAAATTATTAATACAAAAGATATAAAAATTAATCTTATTCAATCTAATAAAATTGTTATTACAATTATTAAAGAATTTATAGAAACAACTCCTCATTCAATAAAAATTGTAAAATCATTTATAATAAAAATTAATCTAATAGTAAATGACAAAAGTCTAAAAACATAAAGTAACGAATCTAATTGAACAAATTGATAAATATTTCACGATTTAAAAAGATTCTTATCTTATCATTGACACCACAAATCAATATTTAATTAAACTATTAAACAATAACTATTAAACTAAACTATTAAACTATTTAAATAATTATAATCATAACATACATATATCCCCCTTTAAAATTAATAAACTTAAAGGAAATCAATGTTAAAATAATAATAAATGTTCTCGAATCTTTCCTCTAAAAGAATAAACTCCAGAAAATAACTTTCCATGTTGTCTATAAGCATATAAATATAATGTATAAGCAGCTCTAAAAAAAAGACAATAAAGATAATATTAATATTGTTAATCAAGATCAACTAACAATTCTATTAATTAAAGAAATTTATCCTAATAAACTTAATAAAAATCACCACAAAGCTATTGAAGGTATACAATTTAATAAACCCTTATTAATTAATAAACTTCGTTCATAAGAAATATTTGCATACATAATCCATGAGCAATTATTAAAGTATAAGAACCACATATTCCTATATATGTTAGAGTTATTAACCCAGCTAAAACAATTCCTATATGAACAACTGAAGAAAAAGCAATTAAAGCCTTTAAATCAGTTTGACATAAACATGTTAAACTTATTAATACTCCCCTAACTAATCTAATTCTAATTCAAATAAAATTAAATTTAAGTCCTAATGACTGTAAAAAAGGAAATACTCGTAATAAACCATAACCTCCTAACTTTAATATAATTCCAGCCAAAATTATTGAACCAGAAACTGGAGCTTCAACATGAGCCTTTGGTAATCACAAATGAACTAAAAATATTGGTATTTTTACTAAAAGTGCTATAACTAAAGAAAAATATAAAAGTTCATTATTAAATATATAATTATTTAATAAATGAAAATTTATAGTATTTGTCACCTTATATAAATAAAAAATACCAATTAATATTGGTAAAGAAACTAACAATGTATAAAATAAAAAATATACTCCCGCTTGTAAACGTTCAGGTTGATAACCTCAACCTAAAATTAAAAATAAAGCAGGAATTAAACTACTTTCAAAAAATAAATAAAATATAAATAAACTTATACTTCTAAAAGTTAATACTAACATTATTAATAATAATAAAATAATATTAAATAAAAATAAATTTACATAATTATTATATTTAAATACTGACTCTTGCTATTAATATTAAAGAAACAATTCATAATCTTAACAAAATTAATCCATAAGAAATTATATCTGAACCAAATATATAAGAAATTGATATAAAATAATTTAAATATAATTGATTTAGTACAATGAGTTCGAGGAGGATTTGCTTTAGACAATGCTACTTTAACTCGATTTTTTACTTTCCTCTTTATTTTACCTTTTTTTGTATTAGCAATAACAATAATTCATTTATTATTTTTACATGAAACAGGTTCAAATAATCCTATTGGATTAAATTCAAATGTTGATAAAATCCCTTTCCATCCTTATTTTACTTATAAGGATATTGTTGGATATATTATTATAACAATAATTTTAATTTTATTAGTATTAATTTATCCGTATTTATTAGGAGATCCAGATAATTTTATCCCAGCTAATCCTTTAGTTACACCTGTTCATATTCAACCTGAAAGATACTTTTTATTTGTTTATGCTATTCTTCAATCTATTCCAAATAAATTAGGTGGAGTAATTGCATTAGTTCTATCAATTGCAATTTTAGCAATTCTACCTTTCTATCACTTAAGAAAGTTCCGAGGAATCCAATTTTATCAAATTAATAAAATTATATTCTGAACAATAGTAGTTACAGTAATTTTGTTAACATGAATTGGTGCTCGACAAGTTGAAGCTCCTTATGTTTAGTAGGTCAAATTTTAACAGTAGTTTATTTCTTATTTAATCCTTTAGTAACAAAGTGATGAGATAATTTATTAAATTAGTTAATGAGCTTGAAATAAGCATATGTTTTGAAAACATAAGATAGAAATTTAATTTTCTATTAACTTTTTACTAAATAAAATTCACTATAATAAATATAATAAAAACATCTTAAGTCCTACAAAAAATAATAAAAAATTTAATGAAAAAGGTAAAAATCTTTTTCAAGCTAAATATATTAATTTATCATAACGGAATCGAGGTAACGTTACACGTACTTAAATAAATATAAAAGAAACATATGTTAACTTTAAATAAAAAGAAAAAGAAAACACATCACACCCTAAAAATATTACACACAATAACATTCTTATACATAAAGTACTTGCATATTCAGCTAAAAAAATTAATGCAAATCCTCCTATTCTATATTCAATATTAAATCCAGAAACTAATTCCGATTCACCTTCAGCAAAATCAAAAGGTGTACGATTTCTTTCAGCTAATTAAATTCTAAATCAAACTAATGCTATTGGAAATATTAAAAATAAAAATCAATTAAATAATTGATACTTATAAAATATTAATATATTATAATCCCCATTTAAGAAATATTTTGAGTTACAGCTCGTAGACCTCCTAATAATTAGAATTTGAAGATCAACCAGCAATTATTACAGTGTATACTCCTAAACTTGTACAGCATAAAAAATAATTAACCTAAAGTAAAAGAAAATAACTTAATAAATAAAGGTATACATATTCATACCAATAAAGATAAAAATAATGAAAAAATAGGAGAAAAATAATAAGAAATGTAATTTGATAATAATGGATAAGTTTGTTCCTTAGTAAATAATTTAATTGCATCACAAAAAGGTTGAGGAATTCCTATAATTCCTACCTTATTAGGTCCCTTACGAATTTGAATATAACCTAATACCTTTCGTTCTAAAAGTGTCAAAAATGCAGCTCTTACTAAAACACAAATTACTAATAATAAACTACCAATAATAAATTTGCTAAATAAAACATGTACTATTTGTAATATAAATTACATATATAAATTCTAAATTTATTGCACTAATCTGCCAAAATAGTAAATTAATTATATTCAATTATAAAAATAATAATTTATCAAATATTACGTCCTTTCGTACTGAAATATTTTAATTTTTTAAAGATAGAAACCAACCTGGCTCACACCGGTTTGAACTCAGATCATGTAAGAATTTAATAGTCGAACAGACTTAACGTTTTAGCGGCTACACCAAAATATATCTCTTAATCCAACATCGAGGTCGCAATCTTTTCTATCGATATGAACTCTCCAAAAAAATTACGCTGTTATCCCTAAATTAACCTAAATTTTTTAACGTTGATAACGGATCAATTATTCATAAATTAATGATTTAATTAATTAAAAGTTTTTTAAATTTTAATATCACCCCAATAAAATATTATCAATAATCACAACAAAAAAACCCACAAAATTTTAATTAATTAGATTTATAGGGTCTTCTCGTCTTTTAAATTTAAAATTATGGAACAGTTAATATCTCGTCCAACCATTCATACCAGCCTTAAATTAAAAGACGAATGATTATGCTATCTTTGCACAGTTAGGATACTGCGGCCATTTAAAATAATTCAGTGGTCAGGTTAGACTTTTAAATGACAAAGAGACATGTTTTTGTTAAACAGGCGAACATTAATTTTGCCGAGTTATTTATAAAAACTTTTCATATAAACTTATTTATACATAAATATATACTAATTTTATCAATATTACTTCATTTTTATACCCTTCACCATACTATAGAGGGTATATTAACTTTGTCATTCCGTTTGTAACTCCTCGAAATACTCATGTCAGACCCAACAAAGTATATATGTTCTTAAATAAGTCGATTTAGCCATGTCCGCCTGTCAGTTGTAATCACGCTATCTTTTGAACGAATTGAGATAGAAGGCTAAAATTTTGCACACGTGTTTATTTTTCCAGTAGGCAGGTGAAGTTCGTAAATGGGCCATGTAGGTCCACGTTTTCGTATAGCCCCCATATAACGGTACCTCCCGATATTCGGTATTGTGATGATTTTTGCGACATTATTCGCCGGAATTGTTTTAAATTTGTTATTTGAAGTTCATAAAAAATATTACAGCATAAGGAAAAAATTTGTCTGTGCAGGTCCACGTCTTCGTATAGCCCCAATATAACGGTACCTCCCTATATTCGGTATTTTGATGATTTTAGCGTCATTATTCACCGGAATTGTTTCAAATTTGGTACTTGAAGTTCAAAATGGATACTACACCTTAAGACAGAAAATTGTCTGTGCAGGTCCACGCCTTCGTAAAGGCCCCATATATCAGTACCTCCCTATATTCGGTATTTTGACGAGGTTAGGTACAATACCCACCGAAATTGTTTGAGATATCGTATTTGACGTTAGTAATGGATGCTATAGCCTGTGACAAAAAATTGTCTATGCTGGGCCAGGTCTTCTCACAGCTCCGATATAACGGTACCTCCCTATATACGATATTTTGATGATTTTAGCTATATTATTCACCGTTTATTTCAAGTTTCGAATTTGAATATGGTAATGGCTAATGGCAAACAATGCCTATGTAGGTCCACGTCGTATAGACCCCAATATAACGGCTATATTAGGTATTTTTAAAAATTTAACAGAATGTTTTAAGGATTTTATTTTTTGAAAATTTCCAAATACGCTCCAAATGGTGGAGGGTATTCAAAGTTCGGCCCGGCCGAACTTACTGCTTTTTAACTTGTTTTACCCTCCACCATACTATAGAGGGTATATTAATTTTGTCATTCCGTTTGTAACTCCTCGAAATACTCATGTCAGACCCAACAAAGTATATATATTCTTGCTCAGCGTAAAATTCTAAGACGATTTAGCCATGTCCGTCTGTCTGTCTGTTGTAATCACGCTATCTTTCGAACAAATTGAGATAGAAGGCTAAAATTTTGCACACATGTATATTTTGCCAAGTAATCATATAGCCCCCATATAACGGTACCTCCCGATATTCGGTATTTTGATGATTTTAGCGACATTGTTTACCGGGATTGTTTCAAATTTCGCATGTGAAGTTCATAATGGACACTTCAGCCCATGCCAGAAAATTGTCTGTGCAGGTCCACGTCTACGTATAGCCCCCATATAACGGTACCCCCCATATTCGGAATTTTGATTATTTTAGCTACATTATAAACAGATTTTTCTTCAAGTTTCGCATTTAAATATTGTAATAACTTATGACAAAAGTTGCCTATGCAGGTCCACGTCGTCGTATAAGCATTCGGTATTTTTAAGATTTTAACAGAATTGTTAACGGATTTTTTTTTTTTTTTTGGAAATTGACAAATTTGTACCAAATGGTGGAGGGTATTAAATGTTCGGCCCGGCCGAACTTACAGCTTTTTTACTTGTTTAAATTAAAATGAATACTTTAATAAAAAATTAAAATTTAAATAAATAATTAATCAAATAATATAAAAATTCTAAATTAAATTTATTTCTTAAAGAACTAGATACCTTTAAAAACGAATAATAGTTCATTTCTAATATATTATTAAAAATAATTTTGCCACATTAATTTTCATAATATATTAACTCTTTTAAAATCGAGAAAGTTAAATACTTAATTTTTATTTGATAAACCCTGATACACAAGGTACAATAAATTAAATTTTCTTTCAAAATAATAATTTTTCAAATTATTTCAATTTTATTTCACAATACTAATTCACTATAATTAAATTTATTTTTTCTTTAAACAGATTTAATAGATAAAAACAATAACAATTAATAAATAAAATCTAATCAATTTATATTGATTTGCACAAAAATCTTTTCAATGTAAATGAAATGCTTTACTGAATAAGCTTTAAATTGCCTTCTAGATACACCTTCCAGTACATCTACTATGTTACGATTTATCTTATCTTAGTACTAAGAGTGACGGGCGATGTGTACATATTTTAGAGCTAATATCAAATTATTTATCTTTATAATTTTACTATCAAATCCACCTTCAATAAACATTTCAAATTTATATCCGTTTAAATAAATTTATTGTAACCCATTTCTACTTAAATATAAGCTACACCTTGATCTGATTTACTTTCTTTTATAAAATTTTGAAAATTAACATTCTTATAAAATATTCTAATAACGACGGTATATAAACTAAACAAGTTTAAGTAAGGTCCATCGTGGATTATCGATTACAGAACAGGTTCCTCTGAATAGACTAAAATACCGCCAAATTTTTAAGTTTCAAGAACATACCTACTTCTACCTAATTAATTCCTTTTACATTTTAAATAACAGGGTATCTAATCCTAGTTTATTATTAAAATTTTTAAGCTTCAATTAATCATTTAAAAAACAATTTATAATGTAAAAATTTCATCTAATAAATTATATTTTATTTTAAATTAAACAATTTACCTTTTACTAAAAAAAAAATTATTTGCATTATTCGTGTAACCGCGGCTGCTGGCACAAATTTAGCCAATACTCTTTAATATTACTATTTCTAGATTTCTCTAATTAATAATACTAATTACTGCGAATATAAATTAATTTATTTATTATTAAAATAAATAAAAATTCATACAAAAATTTACATATAAATTAAACTAATAATAAATTTTTAAGCTAAAATAAAACTTTAAACTTAATTTATTAAAATTTTTAAAACTATTTACAATTTAAAAATTTAAATTAAAACATAAAAATTAGAATTAATTACAATTAATATTATTGAATAATATAAAATTGGTAATTACTCTCGCAAATTTTAATTCAATTAATTAATCATATTAATAATATAATTAAATAATAAATTTATTTATTATTAATATTTTACATAAACATACCCCTATATAATTTTATAAAATATTTATAATAATATAAAACAAATGTTATTTTTAACATAAAAAAACAATTATATCCCCTAATATAATTACATTTATTAATTTAAAAAAAAAAAAAATAAAAAAATTTGATTGATTGATTTAATATGTTTTAATAATATAGATATTAAACAATAATAGGTCTCTATTTTTATATTGAGCATTAGAAAATCTTAAATTTAGTCTTTAAACTATATTTGTTATACATCTATGTATATATAAATATTTAATTGATTAATATGTAGATATTAATCTAGGTATATATCTATATATTAATAAATATTTAATTAATTAACAGATAAATATTAATCCAAAGCAAAAAAAAAATCACAACCATTCAGTTAAACATAATAGTACGATTAATCTTGATTATTCAGGTATTTTAATTTTACATTCATTATATTTAATAGAATTAAACTATTTCTAAAAGTATCAAAAACTTTTGTGCATCGTACACCAAAATATATATTTACAAAAAGATAAGCTAATTAAGCTACTGGGCTCATAATTCATTTATGAAGGTTCTTATCCTTTTCTTTTTAATTTTTAATAATTCATCAAAAATTATATTTTTAACTATTTTAATAATAGGATCTTTAATTGCAATTTCAGCAAACTCTTGAACAGGAGCCTGAATAATTTTAGACATTAATTTGTTAGCTTTTATCCCCCTAATAAGAGATAATAAATTAATATCTAGAGAAGCATCTTTAAAGTACTTTTTGAATCAAGCACTAGCTTCTTCTGTACTTTTATTTGCAGTAATTTTAGTTTTATTTAATACTGGTAAAGATAATGCAAATTTAATAGAAATAATTATTATTTCTTCGTTACTTTTAAAAAGAGGTTCTGCTCCTTTCCATTTTTGATTTCCTAATGTAATAGAAGGACTATCATGAATTAATGCATTAATTCTAATAACTTGACAAAAAATCGCTTCGTTAATAATAATTTCTTATGTAATTTTTAAGCCATTAATTATTATCAGGACTATTTTATCAAGTTTAATTGGTGCATTAGGAGTTTTAAATCAAACTTCTTTACGTAAATTAATAGCTTATTCTTCAA